GTCTCCATAGCTTTACCTGTCCTGCACATCTCATGTAAGTGGAATCAGACGCTGTGTGGCCTTTGTGTCTAGCTGCTTTTACCGAGCATAATATTTTCAAGGTTCCATCCATGCTGTAGCATGTACCAAAACTCCTCCTTCTTGAGGCTGAATATTCCACTGTACATGGAATAAAATAAATTTTATTCATTCCATGTCCATATCTGTAAATGGACTTATCCATTGTTGATGGACATGTGGGTTATTTCCACTTTTCAGCTATTGTGACTAGTGCAAACACGAACATTCAGATACAGATATACATCTGAGTGTCTGTCTTCAGCTGTCGGGTAGGAGTAGAATTGCCTAGTCAAATGGCAAGTCTGAAACTGCTAAACTGTTTTTTTTTAATAATTTTTTTATTGTTATGTTAACCACCATACATTACATCATTAGTTTTTGATGCAGTTGCTAAACTGTTTTTGACAGAAGCTTCATCACTGTACATCTCCCCCGACTCCAGCAATGTATGAGGCTTCCGACCTTACCCACACATATTTTTCATGTTTTAAATTATAGTCACCTTGATGGGTATGATGTGGTATCTTACTGTGATATCTGTGTATTCTTGATACAAGACCCTTATCATATTTATTATTTGCAAATATTTTCTACCATCATGTGGGTGGTTTTATTTTGTGTCCCTTGATACACATTTTTTAAACTATTTATTTTAGAGAGAGAGCTAGTGAGAAAGAACATGAGCTGGGCACAGGGAAGGAGACACAGGCTCCCCACTGAGCAGGGAGCCCGATGTGGGGCTCATTCCCAGGACCCTGGGATCATGACCTAAGCCAAATGAAGACGCTTAACCAACTGAGCCACCCAGGCGCCATGATACACAACATTTTTAAGTTTTGATGCAGTCCAATTTGTTTTAGATTTTGTTGCTTGTGCTTTTGGTGTCCTATTTAAGAAACCATTGGTAAATCAAATGACATGAAGATTGGCTCCTGTGTTTTTTTCCTAAGGGTTCTAGAATTTTAACTCTTAAATTTAGGTATTTGATCCCTTTTAAGTTAATTTTTACATATGCTGTGAGGTAAGGCTTCAGCTTTACTCTTTGGCGTGTAGTAAATGCACTTTTCCCAACACTACTGTTTGAAGAACTGCTTTCCTTCATTGGATGGTCTTGGTGCCTTTGTTGAAAAAAAAAAATCCATTGACCACATGCGTATGGATTTAATTCTTGGATCTCAGTTCTATTCCATTGATCTAGTATCTGGCAGCCTGACTGAATTTGTTTATTAGCTCAAACAGTTGTGTGTGTGTGTGTGTGGTGGGGGGGGCTATTCTTTAGGATTTTGTACATATAAGAGTTTGTCATCTATAAATAGTTTTACCTCCTACTTTCCTATTTGGATGCTTTTATGTTTCTTGCCTAATTGCTCTGTCCAGATCTTCCAGTGGAATGCTGAGTAGGAGTCATGAAAGTGGATGTCTTTGCCTTGTTCCTGATCTTAGGGAGAAAGCTTTCAGTCAACTAAGCATGATGTTACTTGTGGGTTTTTCATAAATGCCCTCTATCATGCTAAGGACATTCCCTTTTATTTCTACTTGATTGAGTTCTCTTATTGCGGAAGGATGTTGGATTTTGTCAAATACTTTTTCTGCAGCAGTGGAGATGATTGAATTTTTCCACTTCATTCTACTAATCTGGATAGGTCGCTCTTCATATATGGAACCTTTAAATCTCTGGGATAAACCCCACTTGGTCATGATGTATAATCCTTTAATTTGCTGCTGGATTCTGTTTGGTATTATTTATTGTGGGATTTCTGCACCTATAGCAGAGGGATATTGGTCTGTAGGTTCCTTGTGACGCCTTTGGCTTTTGGTATGAGGGTAATGTTAGCTTTGTAGATATCAAAAGTGTTCTCTTCTCTCTCGTTTGCTGGATGAGAAGAAGTGGTGTTAATTTTTCTTTAAATGTTTAGTAGTATTCACCAATAGAATGTTTTGTAGTTTGTGTGCTTCTAGGAATTTGTACATTTCATCTAGATAATCCAATTTGTTGCTCAATTGTTCATAGTCTCTTATAATAAACCCTTTTTTTGAGTCCTGTCTAAATTTCTCTTAGTCAATATAGCTGTTTGGACATTTTTTTCCATTTTTTCAGAAAAACAACTTTTGTCGATTTTCTCTACAGCTTTTCTGTTCTCAACTACATTACTCTCTACCATTTTTTTAGGTTTACTTTGCTTTGTTTCTAGTTCATGAAGTGCATCTGACTGACCCCTGGCAACGCCAGCCTCAGGATCACCATCTCTAGGTTATGGCTGACCAGATAGCTGAACACTTACAGACTGGAGTGGCCCAGGCGAGCACACCCCCCGCCCCCCAGCATGCCAGCACAGGTCACCACAGACTCTGGTCTACGGCTGAGCATGATGCCGGACAGTTGACAGGCCAGCCTGGAACTCTGTGGACCACCTGCTACCTTAGGTACTTTTTGCTTTCCAGGACCCTGAGAACTAGCTGACCCTGGCCAAGGAACACAGCCAATGGGCATGGTGCCCTGCCAGCAGCCAGGCATTTCCCTCACCCCTGCACAGCTATGGGTCACTGCCCCTGTGCCCACAGGCACGACAGAGCACTCACTCACACACTGGGTCTGATGACTGCAGTTCCCTCCTCACGTCTGCATCGGCCCACAACCCTCCCAAGGGTCCACACTGCTTCGCACTGCTCCAGCCTTTTTCAGGGTAGATGGAATCTCATATTCTACCGTCAAGGCCAATGGTGAGCGAGAGTCCTGTCCGCCCCTCCCCCAGGAGAGGAGAGGACCCCTTCAAGGACCTCACTCTTCACCAGGTGCGGAGGGGCAGCCGAGTCCCACCGATACTCTCTGGTGCCCCTGCAAATGCCAGGCACCAGGGGTCTGAGACCACAGGAGATGCGGCCAGTGGGCACGGACGATTTCAGAAGAGGTGAGAGGGGAGTTAGCTCCTCCTCCCCAACGGCTGCAACTGGACACACAGCACGGCTTAGGTCCAGGCCCAGTGACTGTGCAGACTGTTGTATGCAAGTGGGTGTGCAAGAGGGGGGCAGAAGCTAGAGCAACATGGAGCAAGCAGCTATTGGACCACACGTGGCAGTTCTGGGTGGTTTAGTGGGTTGGATGGTACAGCATGAACGGGCAAGGAACAACTGATGAATTGCCGTGTGTGCAGCGGTCATGGGTTTGCACCATGAACACACAAGCACCACTTGACGGCACACCACGGCTGTGCAGACAGAAACTACAAGGAGCAGAACGATGCCAAGTTTGCACCTGGCCTGAGTGTGCAGTGAGACATTGTCCAATAGCACCAAGTGGGTGTGCTAGAACCAAAAGCTTGATGATGAGAACAGGAGCAAATGTGAAGCACTGTAGGTGTGCAGGGGGCATTGGATTGCACATGGCAAGTGTGCACACCGTGCACCTGAGAGTAGTGTGAGTACCAGCATTTGAGGGACATGGGGGACGCGTGGGAGGAGCGAGGACATGGTAGAGCAGGAGTTCCAGGGGTGCAGGCTGACAGAACACGTGTGCAAGGGGTGACTGCTGAATAATGTGGTGAGCGTGTGCCACGGCACGGCTGGACAGCACACAGGGACGTGTGCAGACACAACTGTCCGATGGCAGTGGGGGGGGTAGAGCTACACACGGGGAGGTTGTGGGACTGCCCGCGGGGCGTCGAGGTGGGCACGGGACAGAGCAGCATGCCTGCTGAGTCCCTGCGAGCACAGGGGAGTGACTGTGTTGGTCAGTTCGACACATCGACTTGGCCAGGCCACGGTGCCCAGCTGTTTGTTCAAACGCCAGTCTCCATGCTGCTGTGAAAGCACCCTTTAGATGTGATTAACTCTGAATTCCACAGACCTTGATAAAGCAGATTACCCTCCACAATTTGGGTGAGCCTCATCCATCAGTGGAAGGCCTTAAGTGCAAGGACAGAGGTGTCCCAAAGAAGCAATTCTGCCTTCAGACTTCAACACACTAACCCTGAGTTTGCAGACTTTGGACCCCAGACCACAAAGTCCACTCTCCCCTCAGTCCCTGGCCTGCTGGCCTGCCCTGCAGATCTCACTCACCAGCCCCCACCGTCTCTTGCTCTATTCTGTGGGTTCCATTTCCCTGGAGAACCCTACTACTGTCACCGTTGAGTGGCACACGGAGTGCAGAGTGGCTGTGAACCAAGCACCGATGCTGGTGGCCTAAGATGGCCAGCGCATGTGAAGGGTGGGAGAGGGACTACAGGGGGCTCTGCACACCTGGGGCAAGGTCCAAGCCCTCACTGGGGCCTGGGGCACACAGGCAGTGCTGTCACAAATAAGAGGGACATAAAATCACGGGTGCCAGCCAACCCTGAGGGGCCCCTGAACAGTGCACCTGTGATGCCTAGGGGCCTGCATGAGGGACAAGGTATGAGGCCTGGCCTGGTGCCCGGACCATACAGACATCTTTGGCTCCGGACTCTGGACGGGGGTCAAGGGGAAGCACAGGCCAGTAGGGGGACGGCAGGCTCTATGTAAGTAGTGGTTCTCCTGTGGGACAGACACAAGAGGTCCTGGGCCCCAGAATGTCCGGCCCACACACAGGGGCTTGCTCCAGGGCAAGAGGGAGACAAGCAGCGGCGTGGTCCTACTGCAGAGGGAACCGTGCAGGACAAGCCAGCTGGCTCGCACTGCTGTGGATAGGAGGCCCATGGGCTGGGATGCTGGTCCTTGCTGAGGGAAGGCTGGGGGCACCAGGAATCCCAACCACATGCTGCCCCCACGCCTGAGTCCCCAGCACACTCTGGGCCTTCTGGCTGCAGACCTCACTTAGCAGGACCCCCCCACCCACCCCCTCACTGGATCCAGAGCCCTCAGCCCTGGCTAAGCCTCATGAAGGCAGGGAGCCCAAACCCTCTGCACAGGCATCAGGGTCCTGGGGATGCCAGTGGACAGCCAGGACAGTACCACAACCTTAAGAGCACCTGAGGCCACGAGGCTCCGCGGGAAGGTGACCTGTCTCATGCCACACAGTAGCACAGAGCTTTATTTCTGGAAGGTGCTGTGGAAGAGACTGCCTGCCTTCCGTGCCGGTGCCTCGGGGCCCCGCCTGATGCAAGCCTCATGCCCTAAAGAGAGGCAGTGGCAGCCACGACCTCCTCCAGCTGCTGGAGGAGCTCCCCCGGCTGCAGTGAGAACATGCTAGTGTCCACTCTCTGGAAGTCGGGGTGGGCCACCACAGAGGCCAGCACCTCTGCAATCCGGCTGACATCAAAAGCAGCCTGCTGGGGGCCCAGCCCCTTGCCCGCACTGCCCTCAATGTCACCAGGGCCCAGCTCTTTCGCCAGAAGCAGCAACCTCCTTTCAGCAATGATCTTGAGAAAGTGGTAAAATTCTTCAAAATTGATCCCGGAGCAGGACCTCATGATGACCTGGCCAGAGAGGAGCACCAGTGAGCCACGGCTTGCTCACAGCGCCAGGCAAGTGTCTGACGACTATGGGCAGGGCCCATTCCCAGAGGATGGGAACAGAGGTACCCGGGAGCCAGCCAGCGATGGGTCTGAGTCCTGCAACCTGGAAGCCCCAGTGACCTGCCTCAGGACCACGCCGACCTTCACACGGGCAGGCTGGCGGCTACCACGTCCCCAAAACCACAGCTCTGACCTTACGGAACAAGCCCTCCTCTGAGAATGCAGGCTGCCCTGAGGGCTGCCCCACGCCCTCCCCACACTGCAGCCCTGGCCCTGGTGAGCCCCTCCCCAGCCCCCACTGTGGCCCTGCAGAGCCCCTCCCAATCCTTCCCTCCTGCCCAGGCTGGCCTACCTGGCAGTGATGGTCCCAGTCAGGCATAGTGTCCCTCCACTGGCTGACCTCCTGCTGCACGGCCCGGAGCTCTTGCTGCAGGAAGTGCCACATATTGGCCAGGTTACAGCCATTGACCCAGTTGTGATTGATGGAGATGGTGTCCTCCTGGAAGGGGTGGGGTGTGGGTGTCCCCGTGAGTCCACACCAGACCATCCCCAAGCCCTGTCCTGAGGTCTTTGCAACCCTACTCAGCCAGGAAGGGCTGCTCCTGTCTCCCGGTAGGTGCTAGCATAAAGAGGGGGCTGGATCTTTCTGAGTGCACAGCTAACCAAGAGCAGGGCTCCCAGGGGAGCTGGGGAAGCTCCACGGTGTATAAGGACCCACTGCTGCCCAGGGAAGAAACGGGGGCTGGTGGCCCTTCTCCAGTCCGTGCAATCCCACACCCAGGCTCTCTAGAGGGCAGCCTGCCCACTGTGGGATCAGGAGGGGTGCGCCTGGCCCTCTCTTTGTGGAAAGGCATCTAAGAATGCGTCAAGGGTGAGGAGTATGCTGGGTAAGCCGAGGGGCAGATCAACGGGGAGATGGACGCTCTGGGCCTGGGGTCAGACCAGTGGGACCGCAGGGCGTCTCCCTGACCTGTCTGGGCCGCATTGCATGCACACGCGGTGGGGTGTGCCCACCCTACCAGGTTGTGGACTTGGTGGTGCCACCCGCTGGGCACGAAGACCATCTCTCCCGCCTCCTGCGTGAGCTCCAGGGGTGGGCTGCAGTGCTTGCGCATGGGGTACAGGCGGCTGTCAAGCAGCGCGGGCGAGGTCACGTCGTAGGGCAGGCCACCGTGGCAATCCCGAAGGGCTTCTTCTTGCCCCGGAGGGAAGAAGAACCACTTTTTCCTCCCACAGATGTTGACAGACCAGCTGAAGGAGCAGAAGATGTCGGCGTGGAACGGTGACCTGTGTGAAACCTCTTGTTGGTGCCTACTGAACCAGAGGTGGTTTGGTTCTTCAGAAAAGCTGGCTGAGCACACGGGCCCCAGGGGCCCCAGCACTCACACCTCCCCCATCTGAGAGCCCCCAGGGGCAAAGTAGGTATGGAGGCTTGGAAATGGGACGCCCAGCAGCCTTCCCCATGGTCTAGGCATGTCTGAGAGGCTACGACAGAGTGGACAGGGTTGAGGAGAGTTGTGTGGGGCAGGGACAAGGCGCAGAGAGGAGGCTGGGAGGGACGCACGGTACCAGGTGCCAGCAGGCCCCATGTAGATAAAGCGGTAGTCGTCCACGTCCAGGGCGTCCCAGTACTCATTGAGCCAGTCGGAGGAGAAGTACACAGGCAGGGTGAACACGTCCTCGGCCGAGGAGTCCCTGTCGGGAGTGACAAGAGGCTGGGGCGGGAGCGGCCGCCTGCTGGCCCCTGGGCCCCGAGCATGAGATAGCCAGAGGTGTGGGAGGACACGAATGACGCTGAGCTGCCTTCCGCAGCCGGCGTCCACAGCGAGGCTGGCCTCCCTGCGCGAGTCCAGCCACCACATGACCACGGGCCCAAGCGACCCCACCTGACCCGGTGCAAGGAACGAACCCCCGTCATAAACAGAGGAAACGGCGTTAGGGGTGTTGTGATGCCGCTCAGATGACCCATGCAGGCAGCACCGCAACTGTTCCAGACCCCTCTAGCGCCAGATCCGGAATTTCAGCCTCTGGTTGAGCTGGTGCTCTAAGTGCCTCATCTGCATCGCGCTGTTCTCCAGAACCTGTGGGCCTCGTCCACGCTCTCGCCCCGCCAGTGACCTCGAGTCTGCCGAGTGGATGCACGACCAGTGGCCCAGGCACTATGGCCCATGTCCGCTGAGGTCCTTCTTCCCTACCCCACAGCCCCCCACTCCTCCTGGTCCAAAAGCCTGATCCCCGCAACCAGAAAAATGCCCCCCCCCACACACACACAGGAGCACACCAACCCAGCCCCAGAGAGAGTGAGCTCTCCCAACGACGCACTGGAACAAGCCTCTGGAGTAGCTCACACATCGCTCATGGTCAGAGGCCATGGTCAGGGAGAGCCCGAGGAGCACCAAACCACTTGTAGTACCCCAAAACGCCATGCCTCTGCAGGATGTCAGACTCCCACTTACCCCTCAAATCAGGTATCACGGCCCCTAGAGCCGCCTCTGCCTGTCTGGCCTCCCTCTGCTCTATTTGTTCTGGGGTTTCCAGGGAAAATATATAATATTCAGTCAAAACTGACCTTCAAACAACAGACAGGAACATCCCGTGTAATACCTAGAACACCCTTGTTGCTTATTTGAAGCCCATGCCCACCGCACAGGAGCACTGGGTCTAGGAGTCCTATGTGCTGCTGGATCAAGAGTCCCTGGGGGCCACAATCAGGGTCTGGGTGTCCCTGGTCCACCCCCTGGGGCCAGCTCTCACTGCCAGACAAGACGCTGTGAGGCTGGGAGCATCCACCACATGCTGGTGTGAGATGCTCTTGGATGGGTCTTGGGAATCGCAAGGGAGTGACTCACTGTACTATCCTTAGTTTCCACATCAGCAAAACAAGAATTCAATCGTTCACTCATTTATACAAAACTCTTCGAGCCCGTACTCTGTGCCCTGTCCCAGCTGGTTGGGGTGTGAGTAGGATGGTCTCTGCCTGTGACCAGCACACTGCTGGGTAGGGGAATGGACACAACCCCAGGACCCCCTCTGAGCATGGGAACCAAGGAGACGGGGTATGGCTGCCCACGAGTGTGAGATATGTCCCAGAGGCCCCTCGTTGGAGCTCCCAGGGTGGAAGAAGGGTGTGCTCGAACCACAGAAGGCCTCCTTGGACAGGGCAGGCGAGCCGCTGGTCCGTGACGGAGATGCTATACAGCTCGGGCACTGCCTTGCTGGGAAGACGGCTGAGAATGTGAGTGAGCTGAGCAGGGTGGAGCGGGACTTGGGGCAGCCAGGGTGAGTGAGACCTGGCCTGAGCTGGAACAGCGGGCAGCGGACAGGAAGGGCACAGCTAGGTACGGCCAGTCAGAGGGCGTGCAGCCCGCAAGGACGGTTCTAGCAGCCAGGACACACAGGAGAGGCGGCCTCGGCCCACCTGGGGTCCCACCTGACGCAGCGTGGCCAGCCCGGCGATGGGGAGAACCTCCAACCACGCTGCAGGAGCCAGATTCGTGCGCGCACTGCACCTCCTACCCGGGGAAACGACAAGTGCTTTGTGCGCCCCGCCCCCTTTACCTGCACAGGTGCCAGTCCTTGAGGTAGAGGCAGCCGCGCGGGGAGGAGTAGCCCCCCTGGATGTAGTCTTTCCAGTAGCTGATGTAGTCTCGGAGGAGCATGTGCTCCTTGGGGTTGGAATTGTACTCCCGGACCCCGCAGTTGGCCACAGGGACGACCACGTCTCCTGAAACGAGAGGCCGTCGGACGCTGCGCACCCTCCCCCGGACGGCTGCGGCCCCCAAGCCCCGGCTGCTCGCGCGCGCTCCGCACTTACCGTAGTTCCGCAGCAGGTGCTCGAAGGCCGGCTTCCCGCCCGGCGTCACCCAGCGCCTGCGGCTGCCCCAGCCCTCGGTGAAGGAGCTGGAGAAAACGCACGGCACGTTGGGCAGCAGGTAGCCCTTGAAGAAGTCGGCGTAGGAAAAGGAGTCCGGGCTCTCGATGAAGTCCACGCGGCCCGGCGTCGCGCCCACCCCGCCCGCGGGCCGTCCGCGGAGGCGTCGGAAGTGGCTCTCGGCGAAGGCGCGCGTCTCCCTGTCCATCCCCGGCCCGGCTCGGCGCCCGCGCTGGACGACAGGGCGGCGGGGGACGCCCGGCTCCCGGGGACGCCGCAGCCCGGCGAGGGGCGTGGGCCCGGCACCCGCCTCCGGCCTCCCACTTCCCAGCTCTTCAACCGGGGAGATGAAAAGGAAGTACTTGTTGCAACTACTTCCGGAGCAGGCGCTGTAGCGGGCACAGGCTGCTCCCCAGCCTCCGTGCCAGCCGGAGCGAGAACCGCGCGGCACAGGCTCTCGGAGCTTGCGGTCGGCCCGGCGGGGCCGAGCGGAATCGAGAGAATGCAGCCAGAGTTCCTGCCGGAGTACGAATCCCGGCGCGCCTGGCCCTGGGCGCACGCGCATAGCAGCCTGCGGCCCTCGTTCTGCGCAGGCGCGGGAGCGTCCCACAGCGCCTCTGGAGCGGCTGGCTGGTGTGTCCGGTGTCCGAAACAGCTCCAGACCCGAGTCTCGCCGTCTTCGCACCTCCCCAGTGACACAGGTAAGCGGCGCCCCCAGTCTGCGGTCGGGCCTGTGCTAGAGTCCTCCTGGCCCTCTCCCGGCTCAGTCGCGCCTGCTACTGCTGCCGCGATGAGAACCTCTCCTGTTCTGACAGAGAGGCCCCGGGGCCAAAGGTGGGGTCGTGGGGAATGCTGGGGGCCCAGGGGGACGGTGGGGACCCAGGGGGATGCTGGGGACCCGGAGGGGATGCTGGGGGCCCGGAGGGGACGGTGGGGACCCGGAGGGGATGCTGGGGGCCCAGGGGGACGGTGG